AATGTATTTTTGGGATACTTATACTCAGACTATAAAAGTAACAATTGCACAAAGTTAATTTTTAAGCCTTCATCGTGTCACGAACTCATGAATGACTCAAAACAAGCTGTCACATATTGTGGACCGGATTCTCCTCTCAACAAAGTTCGAAGCTGAGCGAAAAATTAAATCTAAATTAAATAAAAAAGAGAAGAAAATTAGGAATAGATTTTAGCTTTGACTGACAACACGTAACTCTGACAGTGTGCCGATAAAAGATCAATCCGTTCCTCAATGTTCATTACCTGCAAGCTCTCTGCGAAAATCTCCGCGTAGATTTTTGCCGTGATTCAATTAATGCAGTTACGGGACATTCCATAAGTTTTTTAAAAGAAACCTCTTAAAATCACATTTTAATTTCATATAGAAATTTTTCACAAACAGCCGAAGCCGCGGGCCGAGAACCGCATGCACGCGGTCAACAGGGGATTATCTAAAATATGCCCTTGAAATTACATAATAAATAAATTATCCAAGCTAAGATCTCACCTCGTATATATTGTATCAAGAAACAAAGCTCAGATCTGAATAAACTCCGACATATGGTTATCTTTCTCTCATAGATTATTCCGCACATGAATGGCATATTATTTCTGAGATCTCACGCGCGACTGAAATCACGACTTCGCGCCGCGGTGATGTGACAAATGCACGTGATAAACAAACCGTCCTTTGTCGTTTGCTCATTTCAAATTTTGACCGGCGGTTGCTGAGATTGCGGCAGAGCTTGATTTTACTGTTTGTTACGATCTTACAAAAGTACATTTCGACTCTGCGGATTGTATGAACACGTAGATGTTGCTTTTATCACGAATCAAAAATGGGTATGACTCCTCAGTGACTGCTATGTACTTTGAAAGGTTCTGGTTCAGGTTCTCTTCGAAGCCGAAGACTCTTCTCTTACATTGTATGTGAGTATTATACACAATGTTCCCTCTATATGCATGACAGGCTTAATATACGCCATATGAGAAACAAATGAAGGGCAGTAAACATTTATATACTCCCGCCTGTACGGCAATTTTAGTTTTTACAGGGTTCCATACTCATGCAGTCTCCCAGTTTTGTATGACTTGATGTCACGTCACCGACCTCTTCCATGCTCGCGTAAATTTTATGGTGTTATTCTTATTTTGTTCTTTATCAGCCAACAATTAATGTTCAGGACTAGCCTGCAAGCAGGAGGGGGGAAGAGACGAGGTCTGGGACCGAGAAACGATGTTCTCACAACTTGCTAAACGGTCACCCAGCGTGGTGGTCAACGGATAATTACAGTATTTTTCCCACAGTAAATATTTTTAGACTTTTTAGAAGCAAGAAGCGAACCGGCAGGGGAAATCAGAAATGCTTAAAAAATTGAAAAAATTCATATCATGCATCTTCGTTTTTCTTGCATATCGTATTTGTCTTTCGGTACTGAAATGCGGGGGAAACTAAAACGAAGCCGTGCTAGATCTTAGCCGACAACAACGCGCTCGATGGATTTATTTATAGGTTACATCGTTTTGGCCGGGCAAGGATAACTTGATGCTGATAAAAACTACTGGAGCAAGTGTCAAATTTATCGGAAGCAAGTATATTCAAGAGAGTTTATAAATATGAGCTTACTGCTCTACATATCATAACTGAATGAAACTTAACACTTCATAACATTTCACTTCGTTTACTTCGATCAGTCAACACCTTGAATCCAAAGTTAAAATTCAAAACGACCCTAAAACAAATCACAACTACTACTGAAAGTTCTGTACCTTGAAGCGACTTTAACTTTCCTAAGGTTTGCAGCAAAACACTGCTCGATAGCTCAACTCTTCGGCGGTTCTCAGCAGCTATACGGTGCTATATGTTGCATATTCCAAACTCTGCAGAGAGAAATTGTTTAACAGAAAAAGAAAACCACACACTATGTCTGAAAAGCAACATAAAATCAATAAATTTGCGAATTACCAAAATATAATAGTGAGAAACAGTCCCGCCTTCGACCACCATGTTTTTGTTCTTTCTCAAGACCGTTGATCTATGGTTTTTGACGTAATGCGCATGATCGGTACACAAATCCGCTGGCAAGACCCTTGCTGATCGCTTTGCAAGTTGTGAGATCATCGTTTGGATTTCATTTAAGAGAATGTATGGGAAGTAGCTTTCCCCCCCCGCCTGCAAGCTTCTGGTAATATTTGAGTAAAGCCGTGAATATAAATTAATAAACAATGTAAGTTACATGTATGTAGACAGTGATGTAGATTATTATTTAACGGTAACGTCAGTAACGCAATACCCTTTTGAAGCCGAAGATTGATAGTCTGTGTATAGGCCCCCCATCCCCTCCCATTTTTATTGAGGGAAGGGGATCTGTACACAGGCTAAAGATTGATTTCGGCATTTCTGAAAAATTCCATAAGAATTTCCCGAGAATTCGTAGGGAATTCAACGTGAAGTAATCGGCTAAGAGATAATTCTCGTGAAATCCTAGCCTAGGACTGTGTGGAGCAATTTCGCAAAGGTAAATCTTGCTTTTTTCGACGGTTTTGTTTTCATTTTATTTCATGAATTTAAATGGTATTTCCATCCTGTTTTTGTACTGTTTTTCTGCTCTTTCGACCGATTTTTTTACTGTTTTCAGACAACTCTAAGGCTATTTTCTTACAATTTTATACTGTTTTTGCACTTTTGCATCCTATTTTTGATGTATTTTTACAATATATGTGTGCTATTGCTTTTCTTCTTCTGTGGTATTTTAATACTATTTTCAAAGTATTTTTATTTTATTTGCAAATACGAGTATTTTACTAAATTTCGAAACCGATTAAACAGCTATTAATTATATTTTGAAGCATAACATTTTAATAGCGTTTTAAACAGGTTAAAACACCTTTAAAATCAGTCGAAAAAAAAATATATTTTTGTACTTATTTTAAGCCTGTTTTTTTCAAAATACGTTTAAAATTGCCATTAAAAATAGTTTTAAAATAGTATAGCAAATTAAAATATGTTTCTGAAACTGTTTTTATCCTGTTTTTATTCCAATTTTTAAGGAATTATATATTTTAAACGAATTTTAAAATACTTTAAAAATTAATAGCGTTTTAAACAGGTTAAAACGTCTTTAAAAGCAGTCGAAAAATACATTAAAAATACACTTTTCACCCTATTTAAAACCTATTTCACAAAACAGGTTAAAAACAGTTTTCAAAAATAGCTTAAGAATACATTCAAATACTATCTCCTATTTGCCAGGGTATTCTTGCCCTTATACTACTACATGAGAAATTTCTGCAATTTGATTGGCTTACAGCAGTGCTATTTCAGCTTAATTTGAAATACCTACATGTGAAAATTACAAACCTTTTGTGGGTAGTAGTATAAGCAAATAATAGCATATTTTGTACGTGATATTTGGCATAAATACCAATTGTGATATTTCAAAGTTGTCTCAAATTTCACTCGCCTAAGGGCTCGTGAAATTACGTATAACAATTTTGAAATATCACTCGTGGTATTTATGCCAAATATCACTACAAATCATGCTATCACCTATACAAAGGTTTACTGGAAAAAACTGAGTAATCGGAAACCAACGGCGAATACAGTTCGCAATACAAGACAAAAAAAACTTTATGCTGAATGCGGGGTAAGATTAAAAAACTTCCGTTCATCAAACTTTCTTTGTATTTTCCCTCTCTTTTGGAAACCGAAAACCTCTCAACAGTTTTAACGTCACAGGTTTCCTTTTAAAAGAAAAAAGGCTTCCAACTCCAGCACTTGTGAACATCCACTGTTTTGCAGCTGCACTCGCCTGACAGCCCTTGTACTTGGTAATTTATTCAAGCTTTTTTTATTATTGTACTTGTCATCACATTCACACGGCAAGTTTGCCACTTGGTAATAAAGATGAAGAAAAATATGACAATCGTCTTATTCTCCTCATGAATCTAACAAGGTCGAATAAATTACCAAATACAAGGGTTTTCGTTGCAGCTGAAAATGGGTCGGTTGAAGTACTGGAGTTGTTGGCTTTATTTCTTCTCAAGACGGGAACCTTCGATGCTAAAAACTGGTACTAGGCGATTTCTGTAAATGTTTGCTAAGCAGAAATACTTTAATCGTGCCACGCATTCAGCATACGGTTGTTCTTCTTGTACTGCGAACTGTATTCGCCATAGGTTTCAGATTACTCAGTTTCTTACAAAAAAGCTTTGGGCAAGAATACCCTTGCAGATAGGAGATAGTGCGACGGCAGTGTTCCCCTATTTGTGCGTCAGCTTTCACAAAATATGTGTTAGCGTTTCATTGAAGTTTAAATTTGACCAGCATTTTGTGCGGCGAGTTCTACGGTCACGATTGATTTCTGAAACTAGAGAGCTCTAAGGTCCATTTGCTGAAGTTACGGTTTCGAACTTATTGACATTTTTTGTAAAACTGCGATTTTAAACATATGCTGTTATCTCAAACCCATTTATACCTACAAGAAAATAAATAGCATTTTATAAAAGTTCCGACATTTTTTATTAAGGATGCCAAAAATTGTAGAAATCGGTTAAATCGTTTCTTTCGAAAAACGCGATTCAAAAACATAACAAACGCGCATATTAATAGGTTCAGGTCTCTTAAAAAAATGGGATCGATACAGCTGTATTATTAAAGCACAGGATGGTGGTTTGATGTAGAGGTTTTTTCGGTTTTGAAGTTTTCTTTTATCATTTCAATGCGACCATTTCCAGATATAATTTGTTAGTGGCAAACCAATTTCTTTCCTTTCATTTGTAAGGTTTATATCTGCTGTGGCAATATATATCGTTATCGTGTTTATTTGTTTATTTATTCGTTAGTACAGTTTGCAACAGATTGAAGAGCCAGAGTGTGGATACTCTGTTAATTAACCGTTTTCTTACTTACGTACTTACTTACATCTATGTACTGACTTACAGTTCGCAGTACCGTATACGGTATTTTGTTTTTCAGGCCTTGCATGTACCTTTGATTCCAATTTGTGTAGCTGGCATCATTCTCCAGATTCTGACTTTCCATGGATCATCCATTCCGGGCCAACTCCGTCCAACGATACTGGACCTGGAGGTGATCGCACAACAGGAAAAGGTAACTTTAGTGTTCAAAGTTCTTTGAATGGTGTCTAATCTCCTGCATGAAGTTAATATTAGTTAAAACCGATCAGGTTCTGTTACTACTCAGCAAGTTGATAAAGGCTTTTCCTATTTTTTTGTTGTTTCATTCAGTAGAGCACTGGCACTTTTTTTTGTACCTATTTTACCTACTGCAAGAGTAATATTAACCCTGTTACCTAAACTGTCTTTGCCCTCCTTTTAGTAAGCAGTAGCTATAAATCAAAGTATATTTTCGATTTTCGATATCTTTACCAGCTTTTCAAATAAGAAATATCGGGTATTTGAATTATAATGTTGGGTCCGACCCTGAAACGTCGTCATTCGTGTTATTCAACATATCTTCTACATAACGGCCATCTCAACAGCATCGCTAAGTGTACAACCAGCTGCCCAGTGTTGAACACTGAGGTGCATGGCGTCTGCCACTAATAAATTTACAATGTAAAACTTTTCGCGGAAATGCCCTATTTTTAAGCGCAGTTACGTCTCGAAAATTTATCACTTCCATCTCGGTCTTGATGTAAAACAAATATTTTCGCCCCATGTAAAGGAATCCAAGACAGTCTTAGATTCTAGATCTCACTTCGTGGATTCCGGATCTGGATTCCAGTCTTTGTCAGTGGACCTTGGATCCTGGTTTCCAGTCGTTAATGGAGTTCCAGGATTCCGGATTTCACAGGCAAAAATTTCCGAAATATTTAATCAGAAGCAGATCAGTCTCTCGGTCAATTTTATAGTTAATGTTCAAACGGTTTGTGCAAAAACCGCAGAACGAAGACATACCATTAATCTGAAAATAAAACTTCTTATCGACACAAACTGGCATTTTCTTAACTATAAGGAACTTTCTCATTTCAGAAATGAAAAAGTTCCTTATAGTTGCGAAGTGGCGTCGTCAACAACAACAACGACAATGTATTTATTTAAAGAAATATAAAGTTTACAATACTTTATGTCCTGTAAATAGCTATAATGCTAATCTAGGCAGGGCAAGACTTTAAATAAAGACGTTATTAAATTACATAAGAACAAAAAAGAAAAGAAATTCAATAACATGCAGAAAGAAACACCTTACATATAAATTCAAGTACAGAGGATTTTGTTATTTCAAAAAGACCAAAATTACAACTTGAGGTATATACAACTTATCAGGTTAACTTCATAAAATATTCTATTAAATAATTAACATTCAAATAATTATCTTCATTACCTAAAACATTAGTCCAGTCAATCTAGGCATTTTTGAGGCTCAACATCAAACTAATTGCAACGGAATTGTTTTCAACGCCATTTAAGTAAGGGTGACCTATCTAGCAACATACTAAAAATCCGCCAAAATCCGTTTGGTGCAAAATGTCAAAATTAAGCGTTAAATATTTTTAGCTTTTAACACAGGAAACCCACGTTAGTTAAAATTACTCGTTCCAACAAAAAATGCACAAAATGTGTTTGTTACTTTTATGGAAAAGTGAAAGAAGAAAAAATAACTGCTACCTAGTTTTCGGTGATAAAAACATTAAAAACGAAGAGTTTCTTTTTTTCAAACAAAGTAAATATTAAACACGGTTGGCTATTGCACAGGAAGCCCATGCTCCACTCAAGGAACCCCCAAATAACAGGAGGCTTACAGAGTCGTAGAGTGAACTGTTGGCTGTAAAACTACAACAAATTTAGTCGTAAGGCTTTAAACCTGAAAAATGAAAGCCGTTTACTTAATCATTAGCGCTTAAAGTATATCTTTTTTTATCTGATTTCTCTTACTGAGCCGCAAGGGTAAGAAAAATTTATATATATTAGACAAGAGAGGATAAAGGGGACAGGGAAGGCATCCCCCATACACACCCTATTCCATAGGTAATTTGTCTCGAGTTATTTTTAAGACCACAGATCCCAAGGGGGATCAGACAACAGCCAATCAAATAGCGCGAATTTGTTCGGCGTTGATGACCAACGCTCAGAGCCGCTCGTCCTTCACGAATTGACGCAGAACAAAATGGCGGAAGACGCGGAGAGCGATATTGCTATTCGTTTTGTCGACGAAAACGACTACAGAGAGATTTCTGCTAAAGCTGTGTCAGCGAAACGGAAATTAAAAAAGAATCGCCCTTCCTCTCTTGTATAGAGCTAACAGTACAGCAGGGAAATCCTTAACACACTGAATATTCTCTCAGGATCATTTATAATTTACAGTTTGAAGAGAGCAATTTCTGGTTTGATATTTACTCTTTTATTAGTCTTTTATTATTCAACAAAAATAATACTTGGCGTCCTACTTGCTTTATTGTACAAACGACCGTTTTCAATAGACCGGCGAAATTTCTCATTTTATTAAAGTGTATATGACAGAAATTTTTTTATTTGCTTGATAGAATCTATACAGTGTTTTGATAAGGAAAGCAAAAAAAACTTTTCGATAGCGATTTTTCTTCCCCGTGTTTTAACCTGCCAAAAACGTGAAATTTTACTTCCGGTGAGCTACAAAACCGCGCTAGCGAAAACAGAAGACTGGGAATGATTATGACGTCATTTCAGGACATTCTATTTCGCGGCAGGCAAATTACATGGTCATTTTCTTATTTGTGTGGCAGTGTTTGGAGAATGTTTTTGAGTTTCCCTGACCTTTTTTTATCAGAAACAGCAGAAATCAATAAGAAGTCGCTTAAGCTCGAATTTAATTGACTGTGAAAAAGAATAATGAGTTTTGAAAGCGATACGGAACAGTCAGACGTGGATTCGATCGGGTCGCGCACTCGCATCTGCGAGACAGAGCTAGGATCAGACGAAGATGAAGAAGATATGTACTATCCAGATCCAGAAGGACCGTATATAGATGAACCTATTACAGACGAGGAATGGCTAAACAGAATACAACCGAGAACTAGAAGAAATTTAAAGGAGAAACCAGGAGTTACAAAACCGCTTTGACAGGATTGTGGAACCGAGACTTGGTAAGTGTTCGCTCTATTAGTTATTAGGCCGAAAAATCTTATCGTACTAAGATCATACCTTGCCGATAAAGAGAAAAGGATAAAAGTTGTATTCTTCAACTTAAATACTACGTTCCTTCTTTTTAATTTCAAAGGTGCTCATGGGGCAATTGTGCTCTTGATCTGCTGCAAAATCCCGGGGAATGCCTCTGCTGCAAGGAAATCGAAAAGTGTGTCGAATCACTTGGTAGTACTGCCGTTCTGAATGAGGTGGAAATCAGATGTAATGTATTACATTGCATCCAGGTTTCAGTGTCGTTTGCCTTAACAGATGGTCTCTCCGATCAGCCGCAAGTAAATACAAAAGGATAGACGGTACAAAGTATCGTCAGACTGATACAGAAGAAAAGTGAGTAATGTTTTGCGCAGTTTTTTCTGTCAGAGCTATCTCTAATTGCTAATTTACTGTGTTCTCCAAAAGCAACGTTAGCAACAGAAGCAGTGGTTATTTGTTCAAACACCATTTTAAGAGAAAGATAATCAATGGATTGTTTTTGTTGCCCATTATTTTGTATAATAGAGAGATTTTACCTGACCCATGAAAGACAATAGAATTAATGCATGATAGCGTGTTCCATTCTACTACCTGTTTAATCGGTTGAGTAGAATCACTATATTACAAAAAACATATGATAAAGAATAAAGCAAAATGTACTTTGCAGAACCCCTAAAATCAAACTTTTCTGTGGGCTTGGGTGTGTGTGAGTATGTGGAAGGGGGGAAGGGGGGGTTGCCAGCCACACCAAACCCCACACAAAGCATTTTGATCTCATCTTTTGCTGACTACATCTTTTCTTACTCTGCTCTACTTTTCAACCCTGGTCCTATTTTCAACTATATTCCACAATTGATTTGATAATGTTCAGTTCATAAGATGTTAAAAGAAATGGGGATTTTAGAGACACAAAGGAAGGGCAAGATTGGAATAGAAATGCATCTGCCACTGGTCATTTGGTAATACTGGGCTCACAGAGTTGAAATACAGGGCGAGGTCATGACTTGAATATTTATTTTTACGTCTTCATTCTTTTACACAGGTTTCTTCATGGAGTAGCCTACAGAGAGTTTACGCAACTAGTACATGGTTTTCTTGGGGGAAAGCGGACTCCACTGCCAGCAATAAGAACAGAACTTTCAGAAGAGAATGAAGAATTTGTTGGTTTTGAAGATAATGAATAAAGATATTGCCTTTATGACCATCATTATTTTAAAATATAAATAGCGAAACAGAGTCCATTGACAAATTTTATACTAGTTTGGACTAATATTGACTCAAAACATCAGCTGATTGCACAGAAACTATCTGTATCTTAGTTATCTACAGTCCCGGGGGGGTACTCGGGAATTCAAGTTACGGGGATGATTGAAAGGAGCCAAAAGTCAAGACCCAAAAAAATCCCTAGGGCTTCCAGCAAAACCCAAAAAAATCCCTGGACCAAAAATTAACCCCCAAAAAATCCCATGCCGGGCACACAGGACAATGCAAACTATTGTATAACACGTGCGATGTAAAGCAACACCATAGTTAACTATTAAACAACAGCAAAACACGTTTGTTTGAACTTTATTTGCAGAACTACGCAGCCAGGGCACTACCGATTCTTTTTAATACCCCCAAAAAATCCCTACTCAAATCAAGCTACCCAAGCCAAATTTTCATACCCAAAAAAATCCTGGAATCAAAAATTTCAAATTTCAAACCCAAAAAAATCCTTTGACCATCCCCGTCACTTGAAATCCCGAGTACCCCCCTTGGGTCTACAGTGCGAGGGTGACTTGAAATAATGGTGATGAAAATCTCTCCCAGTTTGTATTAAGCAATTACCAGGCAACTTATTGGCTTTGCCTAAAAATAAAAAATAAAAAGGTCTGCTATCACTGTCCACTGTTTTGTCGTGCCTGGTTCCTTGGACAATCAACTAGAAGGTTGTGCCCTCTCATGGGTCTTTTGCAAACAGTGCAATTCCTTGTTCTTCCTCCACTTGATGACTGTGCTGTAGCTACAGCTGCCTCTTGGGCAAAAACAACAGATACTGCAAGCAAAATAGGAAAAATATATTTAGTCCACCTTGATTGCTGATAAAATGATAATAATATGTAACAATAACAGTAATAATAATAATAATAATAATGGGAACTTTATTTGTTTTTTTGAATGTATAATTGTAAATCTCGCTACGTATAGGCAATTTACAAATGCTGCTTGAGATTGGATTATTAAAAAGAAAAAAACAAAAAACAAAACAAAACAAAAGCCAAAAAAAAAAAGAAATCAAAATTGCATTAAGTCTGGGCTATCCCAGTTCCTATTTCTACAACAAAAGATGTATGTTGCTTTAATGGCTATATTTATCATTTTCTTGATTATAACAGTAATATTAATAACAATAAAAATCCCTAGATGTCCAAAAAACTAAAAGATTTTCCCAAAGAAAAAAGTGACTTGAGAGGGGCAGAAGGCTCAGCTAGCCTCAGATAGGGCTGTGTTCTAACAGCACATGGTGACCCCTAGCACATAACTTCTGCTCTACGGCGACAAGAAAATCTTAGAGATTATAATATTATGCTAGGCATCCTTGATTTCACAGGTTCAGGGCACTGGGCTCCCTTCAATTTGTCTTAGAACACAGCCATGATTATGGATTTTGCAGCCGATCAAGAGCACAATTGCCACATGGGCACCTTTGAAATTAAAAAGAAGGAACGTAGTATTTAAGTTGAAGAATACGACTTTTATCCTCTCCTTTTATCAGCAAGGTATGATCTTAGTACGATAAGATTTTTCAGGCTAATAATTAAAAGGTGAGAAATAGAGCGAACACTTACCAAGTCTCGGGTTCGACAATCCTGGCAAAGTGGTTTTGTAACTCCTGGTTTCTCCTCTAAATTTCTTCTAGTTCTCGGTTGTATTCTGTTTAGCCATTCCTCGTCTGCAATAGGTTCATCTATATACGGTCCTTCTGGATCTGAATAGTACATATCTTCTTCATCTTCGTCTGATCCTAGCTCTGTCTCGCAGATGTGAGTGCGCGACCCGATCGATTCCACGTCTGACTGTTCCGTACCGCTTTCAAGACTCACTATTCTTTTTCACAGTCAATTAAATTCGAGCTTAAGCGACTTTTTATTGATTTCTGCTGTTTCTGATAAAAAAAGGTCAGGGAAACTCAAAAAACATTCTCCAAACACTGCCACACAAATAAGAAAATGACCATGTAATTTGCCTGCCGCGAAATAGAATGTCCTGAAATGACGTCATAATCATTCCCAGTCTTCTGTTTTCGCTAGCGCGGTTTTGTAGCTCACCGGAAGTAAAATTTCACGTTTTTGGCAGGTTAAAACACGGGGAAGAAAAATCGCTATCGAAAATTTTTTTTTGCTTTCCTTATCAAAACACTGTATAGATTCTATCAAGCAAATAAAAAAATTTCTGTCATATACACTTTAAAGCAGTGAGGTTACGACAACTTCGAGGTAAACTGATTTCACGAGTTGTCAAAGAGTCTAGCGATTCCCTTTTCCCAGGTGTGCGCCGACTCAGTTCGCTTCAATACTAAGGAATGCTCTCGATCTCTTTACGCTTTCATTGCCTTTCGCCCGACATGTTTTGCACGGCGTTTAGTCATGCGAAACCTCCACGAAACATCCACGCAGGGCGCGAGGTAACTTTATCCCAATTCTAAAAATAACTCGAGACGAATTACCTATGGAATAGGGTGTGTATTGGGGATTCCTTCTCTGTCCCCTTTATCCTATCTTGATTTTAGAGCTGGACTTTTTAATAATCTTACAGCCAAAATAGACCTCTCCCCTCAAACAGCCTTTTTCTTTCAAAAACTATCTCCACAGAAGTCAACATAAAAACTAGGACTGCAGGCACTGCTTTTTTTTCTTCTCCTCCTGTCTTTCTCCTCGCTCTTTTTATTTTCCCTTTCGTCGTTCTTTTCTAGCAGGATTTTCGGGCTTATTTTGCCTTCGGCTTTTGGTTTTCTTCGCATTCAAAAAAACTGCAATTTTCGTTCGGTACGTTTTCAAATATCCAGCAAGATAATGCTTTGCCTTTTGCGGTTACCTTCACATTAATTTTTGTTAACGTATCGACATCCTCAAATATACAAATTTTTTGAAGCTTTTTGTTTTCTTCTAAAAGTGAATTGGAGAAGAGGGGAGGATAGTTTTACTAATTCTTTACAATGCACAACAATGCAAAGTTTTTGAACAGGTTAAGTTCCAATACCTATGAGTTTGATAAGAGGGAAATGCGTTTTTATTTGAAGAAAAGTGTTGTTACCTTCCTCTCAAGAAATTATAAGGGTTAACGGAACATTCATCGCATAAGAACTTTGTTTCCGGCAAACGTTTGTTTCAAGAAAACGAAATAGTATAATAGGGAAGCTTTTTCTGAAGGGAAAGATTAACTTTGGGTAGCCAAAACAATGCGTATGTAAAAATATCTTGTAATAGTCTGTGGAGTAATGGAAATTCCCCACCCAGAGCATAATTCACGCAACTCAGTCAGAAGGTTAACATGCACTAAGTTGAAGTGTTACACAACGCACATCCGAAGAGAAACATTGGTTCCGCAAAAAGAGGCGAGCCATCAGAAGCTAAGTCAGGCAAGCCTATTAATGTCGTACATATGTCCAGTACTTTTGCGCCTTCATTGACAACAGCAATTATTTTCAGACGTGTAGGATCCCATGATCGTTATAGAAAAAGAGTCTTCATTTGCCAATTGACGAAAAAAAACTGGTCAAGGTTCAGGGTTGTTCTCACAAAAGAAATGCAAGGAGGGAATATAAACGCCTTTAGACCACAGAGCGATTAATCTACTTATTCATCTTACCTGAAATGAAGGGCTGTTGCAGAAAATACAAACTGAATAAACAGATTCTCTAAACTAAATCTGAGACTCGCTACAAGAAGAAGATTAAAAAAAGAACAATCACACTGCGCTTAGTTTTCTGGATTTCCCTTACAACAGAATGAAAAGCGCATGGCGTTACGATCTAGCAAAAACCAAATCGACGGAATCGTTAGCAGAATATTTATTTACTCACATTGTAAAGCACGGAATCATAATCCTAAAGGAGGTTGCGCATGTCGCGAGAAAAAAAAAAGTCCCTGATTTCGTCACACATATTGTGTCTAAGGTTTGAGCATAAAATGGAAAATGGGAATAGGTTATTAAAAGTAAACAGTTTGTACTGATACAAAGCTATCGTCCGTTGCACACATTTAGCCGCACGTATCTTGCAGCATGGATGCAAATTTAGTAATTAACCGAAGGTGATCAAAATAACTGTTCACCATCAGTCAGCTACTAAATTTGCATTCGTGCTGCAGGATATATAAAACATTACCAGCCTGTGATACTGCCAAAATACGTACTGCATTTCTGATATTGCGCAAAAAAAAAAAAACAATTACTAATATTTTTAACCATGTTAACACAGACTGACTAATAATGCCCTTATTAATACCGTCAAAGAAAAAACTTAAAGCTTAAAAAACAGAATATGAAGACAGACGAGTGAGTGGGTTACCTGTGTAAAGCCCCCAAGACGAAACACTGACCCAGGTGTTCCTCACACATTTAGTCGGCGTTTTTTAAAACAAAACTACCCAAAGTACATTAGCGATGTTGTATCGAAAATTCTTGAGGCAAAAAAACACAATTAACAGATATTTTGTCTGAATTTGTGATCTTCCTGAAATTGGGTGTCCTGTGGTGAACGTTGAAAGTCTCTATTTCCAATTTTTCTCATCTTTCACCGAACCGATTTTGGCGGATTTTTAGTATGTTGTTAAATAGCCATCCAACAATTAAATGGCGTTGAAAAAAGTTCTGTTGCAATTAGTTTGATGCTAAACCACAATTTGACTGGACTACATTAAGGAGTAGTGATTAAATTTTTTTACGCAAATTAGATAATTATGTTGAGAGTCTTAACAGAAAGTGGAATAGAATTCCATTAGACACGCCAATTCTAGTAAAAGATTTATTCATTTTTTCAGTTCTAGAGAATTTGACAGAGAAACATGCTTTTGCAGATAATCGCAAATTATAATGATGTTTTGTATTGATTTTCGAAAACTTATCTAGAAGACTCCGGAGCTGTCTTAGCATGAACGTCATACATTAAATAGCTTAACTGTTGAAAGAACAAAGACTTCAAAGGAAGGCAGTTTGATTCAATAAAAAAAGAGATTGCATGGTCTCTGGGTTTAGTAGAAAAATAAATCAGACGCAGTGCACGTTTTGGCACTGACAAGTATCTTATTGAGATAGGTCTGTGGACAGCTGCCCCATGCACAGATACCATAATTTAAATAAGGAGCAATAAGTGCATGATATAAAGTCACAAGATTGCGTGGAATGTAATGCCTCATTTTAGCAAGGAAATTTATTTGTGAAAGAAATAGATGGTTTTATGCTTAGTGTGACTGATCAGTGTTTCATTGCTCCAACTGCCAGTAGGGGGCGTTGTACTGTCGCAATTTGTAATAATCATCGCACTTTGTAATACCTGTCGCAATTTGTAATAAATCCATCGCACTTTGTAATACCTGTCGCAATTTGTAATAAACCGTGTCGCACTTTGTAATAAAAAAGCTGTCGCAATTTGTAATAACAGTCCATCGCACTTTGTAATAAACTAAGCTGTCGCAATTTGTAATAATTCCATCGCACTTTGTAATAATTTTTTGAGAGTGATTCAACTTACTTCGTCAACATTAATATAATGCCAAAATATGCTACTTCATAAACAAAGATGGTGACGTCTGCTAGCACGTAACATCTCCGTAACATTTTCTTTGGTCAAACATGCATGTCTACCGCTATAAATTTTTCTGCCTTGATTAATCACGTGACCAACTAGAAAAGCTTTTATGAAAGACATGAAACTTCCTGTGACATATAACCAAAAAGATATGAATCATGTTTAAAATCAAGAATATTTAAATAACAAAAGCAACATTTAACAACAGAAAATTCATGAATAACCTGGCATTCGTCGTCCAAATCCATGTTTGCTTGCCACGTGACACGTGAAGTCTTCAGGGGGGGGATAATCCCATATATGGATGGGCTAGACAGAGCATTGTCAGAGTACAGGATCTCGACAGAGCTAGACACACTAGACACAAACGAACCATTATTAAAAAGCATTTAATTTCCGCAAATCGTAACATCCATCCTACATCATTCGAATAAGGACACCACGAGACTTCAAGCTTTCCTTGTTAGATCTTATAACAGGTCGATGCAACACGTTGTGCACCGTCCTTGTCTAACGCGCAATCTTAAAGAAGTAATAGTGGCTTCCATATTTTGGCCAACTTAATCAAACGAGGCCTGGAAAGATTCAAAATTTTTACTGCAAATAAAAAAAAAAATGTCACCAGTGGCAAACCGTCGAACCACAACAGAAACCTAAAAACAAAATCCAATTAGTCGCTGGCCAATACCTTCTTATGTACCTGTTTTTATAACACTCACTTGGGGTCTTACACTGAGCCGGCTGGGCATTTGGCCCATTATTCTCACTTGATTTGGTCCCATATAGGATCAAAAGGAGTACTCATTCTATCTTAAAACAATTATTTTCTATAGGGAGTCCTCTAAAGCAAATACCATGGGGCCGGGATAGTAAAAAATTATCCTTCCCTGCGTATATACAACTCTTTCGAGCGTGTTCTGGATTACTGTTTTTCCACAAAATGGAAAGGATGGAATAAACCATCCATTACTACTTGAGTTACCCTATCTAAGGATCAAACCAAAGACACAAGGCCAACAACGTAAAAAATGATACCCTATTAAAGGCTCGAGATCCTCAAAAACCATACCCTATCAGGCGGTACTTACCTATCTAGAGGCACATTCCCGTATTGGCCATATAAGGAAGTACACCCGCCGGGTAACCACTGAATGAAAACCACCTAGTACAATAGCAAGGTTTAAGAGTACAGCATTTCGTAAGTCAGAAAACTAATCAACATTAATCTGAAAAAAATGTTTAGGACTGTGAATAAAGTTAAATGTTTGAATGAGCGGAGGTGTTACGTGCCAGCAGACGTCATCATCTTTGTTTATGAAGTACCATGCATATTTTGGCATTATATTAATGTTGACGAAGTAAGTTCAATTACTCTCAAAAAGTTATTACAAAGTGCGATGGAATTATTACAAATTGCGACAGCTTAGTTTATTACAAAGTGCGATCGACGGTTGTTACAAATTGCGACAGCTTTTTTATTACAAAGTGCGACACGGTATATTACAAATTGCGACAGGTATTACAAAGTGCGATGGATTTATTACAAATTGCGACAGGTATTACAAAGTGCGATGATTATTACAAATTGCGACAGTACAGCGTTCCTGCCATCCGGGACATTAGACGTGTATTTTTAAGACATAAAATCGAGGCACGAGGCCTCTCTGCTCGCTGCAACAAGAAAGTTATGAAACATTTTTCCTCTTACCCCTCCCCTTTTCCTTTTCTCCACTTTACTCTCCCGGATGGCGGGTTTGCCCTCACATTTGCTGGGATAATCTTCTTGTGTATCCGGGATTTTCCTAGCTGGTTCTAGCTGTATCTGCTTAAATTGATTAAACGGCCACTCCTGTGGTCAAAATTCATGCCAAGATAGATTTGTCATTATTTGGTATCCCAGTAAACAGACATCTATAGTTGACTTGACAATTATTATTAAAAGGAACATGGAGCATAAAATTATTTATCCCAATTGGTACCATTCAGTAGTGTGCCCAATATCTCAATATTATCACCTATCATGGCTTAGTATCATTTCATACCAATTGGTTACTTTTGAACAGGAAAGTATCTGTACTCTGCGGCTGGCTATCCAAGAAAGAAAGGTGACTGCGCTAAGCTTGTCTCTCAAGCTTTCACCGGAGCGTTTTGTCTATCCTTCTTCTACCATATGCATGGTCCTGCAATAGGAGAGCTTCGACTGTCCCTTAATAGTACAGTAATTTTTCAAGCCGTGGGAGAGCAGGGACCGAACTGGACTCAAGCGCAAGTCTCTATAAATGGGACAGATAGCAAGGTATATATTTACTTGCAAACATTGATAAAGGCCTCCACTTCAAGCCCGATGGGACTGTTAAAATCGTAGAAACGTTGAAGCATGGCAACAAATACGTCCAAATTCGTTCAAAAACCCTCCTCGTTAAATTACAAAATGAAATTAAAAGTTAGTGCAGTCACTTCCACTAAATCAAACCCCACAAGGTCTATGGAGTAATGGCATGTTCCAAAACTACGTGTTCGAGTTGTGATTTTCTTTTATGTCTGCGTTGTATCAGGCCCAGCTTAGTTTACATGTAGCGTATCTAATGCTAATGAGCATTGTTATCATTTACTTTAGATTCCGTACATGTGAAGTTCGATGTCGAAAAGGCCGTAATTGTCAAAAGCTCCGCATACCTTTAGGTTTAGTTTGCAAAAGTAGGTGGAAACGTGTCTGATCAAACGCGGGCCGTTGATGGTCCGTTACGGTTTATATTTTTATTATTTTCTTTTTTGGGGAGGGGGGAGGGAGGGGGGTGTGGGGCAGTGCATGCAAGGTGAATTAAATACAGTCAGGTCGATAAAATGTATGGCCAGAATTCATAGACTGAGTTACCACATAGTTTCCTTTTCGCATTTTAGCTTCTTTTCGAGGGAGTTGTCGGCAATGGAGAGCAGGGAGACATTTCGTTAGATGATGTGGCAGTGTCATATGTGTGCAATGGTATGGATAAGAAAACATGTACCTCATATTTTGGTACAGCACTAGAGAGATGTAAAGCAGCCGGGAAGTGGTAGGGGAGATTCCTTGATAAGCATAGGGTCTTAAATGAATCGAGGGAAAAGGTAACCGCTTTTTCTGGCTGCAAAATGTTTGACGTTCATCAGGTAGCTCATCTGGTGGCCTCCAGAAGCCATGCAGATTTTTAGGTCTTTTAGCATTTCGTCTAAATATATATTGATTCTATCCCTGGTTCAGTTAACTAACCTCAGTGAACAGAAGCACCAAGTTACTCAAAGCCATCGGTATCACAGTAAATTAGTAGGCAAAACGCTTCTTACAAAGACGCCGTTTTCATATCGACCGGTCTATCTGTCACATGATAACACCTGAGAAAAGACTGAGCGTTCCATATTCCTATCCCTGATTCTCCAAGATAGATTTGATTTTTGCCTAAATTATCAAATTGTTGAACGGGAATTTTCTTCAAATGATGAGAACATGCTCTAAGTTCAGAAACTTATCTGTTATCATTGCAGTTTCGTTTTGTCCAAAAACTCCAATTTTGCTTAACGGAAGTAAGTATTGTTCCAATGGAAATAACGTTGGAAGTTACTGTAATATGACATGCGCACCAGGTTACCAGCTTATCGGATCTTCTTCAAGAACATGTCTAAAGACAGGAGTATGGTCCGGAAAGATGACCTCTTGTGTTAAAGGTTGCTAGCATTTTGTAGTCTTAACTTCTTTTTTTTCATATTTTAAATTCATCATTTTGTCATTATTTTTATCATCGTTTTATTACATGAAAGATGTCAATACCATTTTCAGGTTTTCAATATAAAGAAAAAAAAAAAGAGAGTAGAAACTGGAATCCGAAAAAACAGAGCTTGTAAACTTGTGAAACCACTTTTTTGTCGTTGTAGTAATCTTTCAGTAAACCAGCAAACTATTCTTGACTAGTTGCAAAAACTTACACAAGTATCGACAAGCCAATTGTAGTTGTTATTTTTCCATGGTAAATTCATGCTAACACCAGTCTATATCAAATAAATTCATGTCTTTGAAAACTATACCTCTCGATTACAATAATATATGCTCTAAGCTAACCTTACCAAACATCGTAAGCGAGATGATTTGTTCTCCGTGGCTTGTTAAAATAAACAGATATTGAAAGCCTCCATTACCCATATTTTTTGTTTAGGAAATTTAATAGTGTTAGATTCAAATTAAAAATACCTCCATATATCATATTTAAAAACAATGATAATTTTATTGATTATAGCAAAATTCAATTGATTGATAAGCTTGGATAAAAAAAATGTCCTATACAATGATTAAAAATAAAATTAAATTAAACTTGTCTACTTTATCTTCCCAAACACATTTGCGATTTCTGGCCCGCTAAAGTCAGTGTTCAGCAGAAAACAATAAGCCTTCTCCCGCCACATTATTTTGCCCGAATACACATTACTGAACTCTGTGATTTAAACAGCAAACTATTAGAAGCTTTTCTGATACATTAGGTATTGTTCGCAAACATTACTTAAAGCTAAGAACATGTCGAATTGTTGCTTTTGTTGTTGATTTTATTTATTTTATTTTTTTTTTTCAGTTAAAGTACGCTTAGCAGGTAGTAACTCTTCCACGCAAGGAAGAGTTGAATTATCCATCAATGACGTGTGGGGAACCATCTGTGACGATAAGTGGACTTTGAAAAGCGCTACAGTCATCTGCCTCATGCTCGGTTTGCCAGAAGCAGTTGCCGCTCCGGGCAATTCGGGTTTTGGGGCAGGCTTTGGAAAGATTTGGCTCGATGAAGTGACATGTGATGGCAATGAGATGTCTATTTTGAATTGCAGACACCTTGGACTTGGAGTCTCCACAATTTGTGATCACTCTGAAGACGCTGGTGTGATCTGTGGAAATATCACTGGTGAGTTAATGGCTCTTTTACAAGACAAATGGGTACATTGCTGTTGTTGGTGGTGGTGAGGTGTTTACCTTAACGGCGTAGAAGTTGTTGCCAGACGACTTGTTTATCGTCATAGTAAAACACAAAGAGGTGCTCAATTGAACGGTTGCTTTGCAGATTTCAATGTTCGACTAATGGATGGCGCCACGCCGAATGAAGGGCGAGTAGAGGTTGCCGTTAACGGTGTCTGGGGAACAATCTGTGACGATTACTGGAGCATCGAGGATGCTCAAGTTGTTTGTCGCATGCTTGGACTTCCCCAGGCTACAGCAGCCACTAAAGGTAGATCGTTCGGGAGTGGTATTGGTCCTATATTGATGGATGACGTAAAATGCATTGGCAACGAAAGCTCGTTGTTGCTTTGCAACAAAGCGGATTTAGGTGTAAAGGACTGCGCTCATTTAGAGGACTCTGGCGTTGTTTGTGGCCCACCATCAGGTAAGTAATCGCAAGCCATAGTATTGGCAAGATTTTGAAATCAGTTTTTTAAATTTTATTTGAAAAATATCAGTAACAAATCGATTTTTCTACTCCGTTTCAGTAAGTGGTAAGAATTTTGCTCTTCGTATGACTGTGAATCATTCGGATCCCACAGAACAAGCCTCATTTGCAGTTGATGGATTCTTCGACACATGTGTAATTTTCCATGCGGTAATTCGAATATTGTTTTATTCGCAGTAAAAAGGTGTATAGGTTTTTCCTATACTACATTGTAGACAATTAGTTCAGTTATCATTTAGTCTTAAATGCTGCTGATTTACCTCCTTTTTTATCGGTAGGCATCCGATCCTTGGTTCCAGCTTGACTTATCACAAGATTACCGTATACACACAGTACAAGTGTTTCTCGGCTCTGACTGCTGCCAAAATATTCAGTTAAACATCACTGTCGGGAGCTCAAATAATCTCTTATCTCCAAGTCATTTTTGCTCTTGTACTCCAACAAATTTTCCAAGGAGAGATTTCCGTGTGTTTAGTTGCAGTCCTCCTGCCACTGGTCGTCACTTGAAAGTTACTGCAACAGGGGAAAATGTAACTCTGATATTGTGTGAAATAGTTGTTCAAGCAACTGGTAAGTTATTTTCCTACATTTGGTCGTAGGTATGGTAGATTACCCGACACCCAAAGCATCTGCTTAAAGACCGGGATTTATTTTACTGACAGATCGAGTAGTAGAATATGTAGTTGTTTTGCGCCAAATGAGAGCCGCTGGCTTCAAATATTGCCAAAAAAGTAATGAGGAAAGATTGCCGATGAAATGAGCTTTTCAACCATGGGTGTTGGAGAAAATTCAAGCAAAGGATTGCGGAAATATTGGGATTTTAGCGCGGAATGCTGCATGTGATTTCATCGGTGCCTATTTTTCGTCATTTTTATATGCAAAACTGAGTAAACATCAAAATCAATCGGTTGAAGCCGAAAATTGAAAGGTTAGTCTGTTCTGCGTTTTTTTTTTTTTAGTGAAACCACTTGCACATTTATTCCATACCATTAATTTTACCCGCAATCGCTGTTTATAAACAATGAGTTTTCGCTTTTTTGAGTAACTCCCTCTCTACGCCTTATATTTTTTGGACGCAAAGCTGTTCACAAAAATTGTAAAAAGTAAACATGAAATTCGAGGTTTCCACTTTAACTTTTGTATGATATATTTTCCTACATCAGTTTACCATGAACCGGTTGCACATTTTTACTTCAACAAAGTGGTTAGGAGATGTTTCTCGAAATTTTTTAATTTCCATCACAGGCGACCCAGACGTAGTGTGTGTCAATTATATGGACAAAATGGGATGAGTCGTCGAATCTCCCATGAACTAAAATAGTCCAGAAGTCAACATATAGCAAAACAAAGCTAACATACCTTTTACTCAACGCCTCCTTGTCTTCCCTGGCCAGTTAAAGTGGCATTTTGTCGAGTTGTGCACTCGTAGGCCACAAAACCATTTCTACGCGCCTTCACGCGAAGCGCTATAAGTTCGAGAATTTTCGACGATTCCCGCTCCAAATTGCCATCGGCTAATTTGCAGATAAAGCGTGCTCCGGCTTCTTGCTCGCTGGCTCCACAAAACCCATCGCAACAGCACGATAATCGCTCGCTCATCAACAAACACTTGACCTTTCACTCCGTCATGAGCCGCAAACCGGCTGGATTACTACGCGATTTGAATATTTCAGCATAGCGACCGCGTCCGCGCGACAATACAGCACCTGCTATGGGAGGGACGGTACTGCTGCTTCTCGGTCAATCAAAAAGTGTGAGCGAACGATGAACGCGATGTGACAGCAGCTGAGACAGCAAACGTTAGAAAAATTCGAACTTGAAAACTGTTCAATACCGGACAGACGGGAACGGTCCCGCGATCGCCTCTGTTTTCTGGTCAAAACTAACGCAGCGGACCCTCCCTCCGTGTTGATTGACGGAGAAGTAATAGTACCGTCACGAGGAGAAACAGCATTCTTCAAATCACTTGTTAACGCATGTGAATTCATGAACAAATACACAGAATCGATCTTCGTGGAGCATGAGAAAGAGAAGAAAAGGAAAAAACAACAAAGAATTTCCGAAAGTTTCACGTTGTAGGCGCGCACAACAACGGCAAAGAATGAAATGTACACAAAAAGTGTGCTTCAGCAAAGTTGCGTTTTTGCTAATTACACCTATTGTTGTTTATTCACCGTTTTCGTTGGCTTCGTCGCTTAGAATTACACAATTTGATATATAGTTTGAGCAAACTATAAAATATTATTGAGAGCTTCGCTTTTAGCTCTGGCTAAATCTATTTAGTATAGACACACTCAGTGAACTTGGTGATTTAAGCAATCTGATTGGTTCTCTATCTCGGAGTATTCAACGATATTCACCTCCTAGCGAGTGGATAATGTGTTTTATTAAAAACTGCATCATTGGATAATGCAATTCTAGCATTTTGATTGGCTTAGCCGTTATGGTATATGAGCTAATATACCATGTTCTCCATATATGGTCGGTGTACGCGTCAGTTTAAAATTGGAAGCTAGCTGAGAATTTTTTTCGCGAAGGATAGAACGGCGCCCGAAGCAAATCGTTTTAATTCATTTCTTAGAATACTAGAAATGCAATTTCAGCGCAAGAAAAAAGACAAAAACAAACAAAAAAGCCACAAGAGCTTGTCTGAAAGTTTGTCGAAAAACACATGAAAACACATGGAACTAAAGTACCTTGACCAGCTACGAAAGAAGACAAGTGTTGTTTCTTCATGATCGCGAAGCCATTCTTCGCCGATCAAGTCACTCGCCGATAGATAACTGCAGCTTGTTTATCCGACATCAAGAATATAAATCACAAGTAACCAGCTACAAATACAGGCTATGCAGCCATTCACTAGAGCAATCGAGGCGGCAGTATAGCTTCTTTTCTCGTTCAGCAAAACCAGCTTGTGGCTTCAAACAACTTCATAACAAGCGACCGAGGTAATACCGGTAGTTTTTCTCCGTTGTTCTTACTTTTATAACTGCACCGAAAATCCAAATTCATAGTAATTTCGACGGCTGTCACTTAAAAATTCCTTTCCTTCACATTATCTGCCAGATTTTTTAAGCTGTTCTGCTGTGTAAAATCCTAGAATCACGATGAGTTTTTAAAAAACTAATGTTCATCGCTACAATGTTTTGATTTTTCATTCATGCAGTCTAGGCGAGTCCGTTCGCGCGTTGACAGTTTTGATAGACGTGTGACATGTCAATAGCGGAAGTCCCTTGTCTTTTCCGGTTTGTTCTAGTCGGGGCAATTCAACGAGATTTTGTGGGCGTTTTTAATAAAACAATTATTCCACTCGGGCTTGTTGGATATGAAATGATTATAGCCAACTCGGCGCTATGCGCCTCGTTGGCTATCTATCATCTCATATCCAACGCGCCCTCGTGGAATAATTGTTAAAGATCAGTGTTTTTCCCAAATTTTTTAGAGAACGATGTTTTAAAAGTCGACAAAATCCTAGGTTTGACGTTTTTTAAAGCAAGCAAAGACTTAGACTTGTATTGATAAGGGCGTTTCCTATTAAGAAATATTTGGCCCAAAAATCGAAGTTTATTTGTGACAAACTTGAAATTTCAAAGCAAATGTTTGCAGAAATTCTACTTTTTAAGTAACTAGGAGAAAGAATGCTACAGGAAGACGACTTCTTACTTCGAGCAACCGAGCCGCCATTTTTGTCAGCACTTCTTGCGAAGAACGACACAACAAACCTTTTTGGCTATAAACTTGGCGAGTCAACAGGAAACAACAAAGCTCTACTTTTCTTCTCAGGTAAGGAAACAATTCAAACTCTTAGCGGTTCCACTTAAGCCATTACGTTGTTGTTTGCAAAGTGATAAACTTGTGAATTGCCATGTTTGAAGATTCTGCGAAGATCTATTTTTAAACTTTAGCGTGATTTGATCCGTTAATCAAATCGTACTTTTAATGGTTCCTCCCTGATTTTGTTGAGATTTCTTCGCGTGTGTATACTAAAACAATTATTCTTGTCAATCTTGGTGAATAGTGGCTGTATGATAAAAACAGGGCCTCAGATGTGATTGAAAAAAAAGTATAAAAGGTTGGTTTACACGTCCCCAGACTTGTTGGCAAGATTTTGTAAAGTAAACTTGTCGAATGCAAAATATTTGGCCTGATTTGTTTCCAAGAATTTGTTTTCCAGGCCTAATCTACTGTGATCTAGAGCCATTATGGCTATGCTATTTTTAGGTGTACATATAAGGCTATCAACTCGATGTAAGATTAAGTTCACTCTTAGCTTGGACTGTTTCCAAATTATTTTTCTCTAAAATCACTTAGCCTTTCCCTCAAAAGTCACATGAATGTGCTCTAAATTAACTGGTTTGTGGAATACAAGTTTATTGTTTGATTTAAATTATAAATTCTAGTTAATAGGAGTTTCGCTTTTATCCCTGGCTAAACCTATATATTAGCTTTTTAAAAGACGCGGACGCGGTTGGTATGCTTGATTAGTATATACACACTCGGTGATCTTGGTAATTCAAGCAATCTGATTGGTTCGCTATCTCGGATTATGACGTTATATTCACCGCGCTAGGCGGTGAATATAAAGCAGAACAAAATCGCTGTCGTGAACTGGGTGTTTTGCCAAAGTTTCAAAGTTTTTCGAAAATTGTACGTGCCAGCAAGTTAACAAGGAAAAGAACATTGGAGATAAACAACGCTCACCTTGATCGTAGCCGCTGTTGACAGCATTTACAAGAAGCGACAATGAAAACTTTCTCATTCACGGTGAGTTGTCAGAGACAAATAAAGCTCGACTTTTCTTCTCAAAATTGGGTAGTAATATAAATTTTCGGCGTTTTCCTTTGAACCGTTGATGCTAAAGCTTACAAAACTCGATACAATAGAAACCATTTTTGAAGGTACTGTAAAGATCTAACTTTTGCGCATCCCCTGCTTACGGCTTCGTGTTCACGCATGAATTCATCCGTCAATCAAACTAATCGTTTTTTAATGGTTTCCTTTCTGATTCTGTTGAGATCTCTCCGTGTGAATATACAAAAACAATTATTCACCTCAGGCTCATTATTCAACAATATTAACTTCGCCTTCGGCGAATAATTGTTAAATATTCAAATCGCGTAGTAATCCTGCCGGTTTGCGGTTCATGACGGAGTGAAAGGCCAAGTGTTTGTTGATAAGCGAGCGATTATCGTGCTGTTACGATGGGTTTTGTGGAACTAGCGAGCAATAAGCCGGAGCTCGCTTTACCTGCAGATTAGCCGATGGCAATTTGGAGCGGAATCGTCGAAAATTCTCAAAGTTATAGCGCTTCGCGTGAAGGCGCGTGGAACTGGTCCGGTTTTTTTTGTAGCCAGCCTTTAATTCTTCCTAGTACCTACGAGTGCAAAACTCGACAAAACGCCACTTTAACAGGCCAGGAAAGACAAGGAGGCGTTCAGTTAAAGGTATGTAAGCTTCGTTTTGTTATATTTTGACTTCTGGACTATTTTAGTTCATGGGAGATTCGACGACTTATCCCATTTTGTCCATGTTATTTACACACACTACTTCTGGTCTCTCTGTGTCTCCATAAATTTCTTTGTTGTTGTTGCCCTCACTCTCATTGGAATTTTACCGCTGAATTTACTGGTCGCTGGTTCAAATGTCTCGTATTGGCGGCAAGGGGATACTTTAATATCTCATCCTATTTATATTTTATAAGTCACTTTTCAATTACATAAACTTGAGATCTTCTTTACTTCTTTACAAATCATAATCTTATTTTAGAGCCTTTCGGGGTATTAAAAGAAGTCTGGTTTAAAGAAATAAAAACCCAAGACGAGCCTGTTTTGAAGTACCATCCAGTTTTTCAGCAGGCAGCCAACACACTTTTTGTACTTGGTGATTTTTACTTCGCTTCGAATGTTTCTACTCCATATGGACAGCGATTGTCAACGTTTATTCAGGTGTGCCATTATTACTTTACGCTAATGGGTTAAATTAATCAAAAATAGTTTTTATTAACTTCCAATTGATGGCTATGGTTTTGATGGTTATGAATTTATGAACGAGAGAATGTGTAAAGTTGATAGCCGTTAGTAACTCAAGCTCCCTTTTTGAGTGATGAATAAGAAAATTCCTCCGAAATCAATTTATGTATCATCCCCTTAATCAGACAAATGTGAAAGGTCGTTGTAGTATTTATTAAAAAACAAAAAAAAACAAAAAACAATCATTTCGGTGTGTGAGAGTCAGTCATTTTTCTCTCGGAAGGAAATGCAGTTTTCTTGGTTGTTATCTTTTTATATTGATGCCAATATTCTGGTGAAAAACCTTGAGTAATAACTTCTGAGACTTCAGTTGCTGGCTGTCTATTATTTCTGCGCTTCTATAGAAATATACCCGTGATAAGGCTATGGGGCCTTGAGAAGGTTGCACGCTTTGCTTTTGTCTTTCATAATGTCAGATTTAATTGATTTTTCAGCCTCCAGTAACTGGGATGTACACGTTTTACATAACGTGTGAAGACGAATGTGAGTTATGGCTTAATAGAGTTAACCAACCCGACTCCGAGGAAGTACTAGCAGCAAAACTAACAATGAAAACAGGACGACTAAAGTGGGACGAGTAAGAGGCAGTCAAATTAATATAGATATTCATCACTTATGCTTCATCAAAAAGCCACATTCAGAAAAACTTGAATATCATGCTACTTGAATCAGCCGTGCAGTCAATAAATCATGCCCCTTAAACTTATTGCACTAGCTAGGCTCGAGCGATTCGCCCCTTGAAAAACCTGTTTAAAGAAAAAAAAAAAGAACCAATTTGCTGTCTAAATCAATCATAACTATGTTACGGAAAAGGAATGGACGACACAAAAATAATAAAAACGACTCTATGTTTATTTGCCAATACGAGAAGTGCCATTGCTTTCACCGCTCCTTTAAGTTATTTCACATTTTGTATTTATTTTTAGAGTTGTTTAAATTCAACGAATCTCTTCTTGTTACTTATTCAGGAGTTCAAACCAAAGATCTAATACCATCTTCCTTAGCAACTGTCTGTTTTATCGGTTGGAGGCGTTTTCAAGGGAATCATATCGGCGTGGTCACCTGTCCGTCGGATGGAGTATACCTGATAGTATACCTGATACCCAACACACCAGCGAGCGGCCTTTGGCGGGAAACAAAACCACATGGATCCTACCAGGTCTGTTTTAATTGCCAGTTTTCAGCTAATGACAAATTTAAAGCCTCTTTATTTATTTTCATAATTACGAAAATCTTTGTCACCGTCCTTTCACACTGGGTTTCCCTAAACCAACTTAACGCTGATTTCTTCAATAACTGTATTTCATATCATATCTGAGACAGGAAAGCTGTTAGCTGTAAGAAACTACCCAAAGTCGCTTTCGGAAAATGCTCAGCAGAATTTATGGCCATCATCATCATCGCCGTCGTCATCGTCATCATCGACACATTTCCGCAATTTTTTTTTCTTTTAATAGGTGAAGAAATATTCACTTTCAAGGTCAACCAGGATATTCACAACTTAAACGTTACATTTGGATCAAATCTCTATATTTCTGGTAAGTATTTCTGGCAGTATCACAGCATACTTGACGTATAGAGTATTTGCTTCGAGCGTAGGCGATAAAATAGAATAACCGCAGGGGATTTATTGACCGCCAGGGCAAGGTTGTGTAGAAGGATTTGATACGAGTAGAACTGAGAACACAACACTTTAATCACCACGAGACAGTAAATCTATTCTGGTACAGAAGCTAGGCATGTGTTATTCCTCGGAGCGGTTCAGACCTTATTATCTACTTCATATATGACAGCATAAACTGTCCCACTACAGTCCACCCCTTCTTGGGTGAAAAATTTGAAAACTTGTAGCAAACAAACAAAACGAAAGTTCCTTCACGAGTCCACCCCTTCTTGGGAAGTTAACTGTTAAGTTCACGGAATTGCTTTACATTTAAACCAAGGAGGTAGGTGATTCCATGTGGTCCACCTTGTAAAGATAAGTAGGGACACTGACTGACGAGTCCTTTAGGTTTGCCATGTCGATTAAGAATGTCTCTAGCTTCCGGTAAGCTATTATAAACTGCTTTACAAGCCTCTGAAGCATAAAACTGGGCTTGTGGCAATGAGCTGAGATATTTCGCAAAGGCGAAAGCGATCTTTGTTAAATCTGAACTACGATTTACAGGCGAAGCTACAGTGCTTTTTGGTAATGAAGACACTACAGTTCCCCTAGTTTGTTCTTGCTCAGTATCATCACGGATGTCTGCACGAGGATCAGAATCAGGAACTACCACAATCTTTTCAATGTTTACTGCTCTGATTTCTTTACCAGTTGAAAGGTGCTGTAAACGTAGCAAATCTTCACGACTGTGAACATGGCTCGTGACAAGATAGGGTCCATCATATTTCCTAAGAAAACGAGTTGCTGCCCCTTTTGCAGTTGAGCTTGGAGGCGGCAGTCGTACAAAAACTCTCTTTCCTGCAGGCACATGGAGATCTCTTGAATGCATGTCATAGTATTCTCGCTGAGTTCTTTTGAGATCTGCTTTAATTGTGTCAAATTGTTTCCGGGCTTCAATGGAACGTTTGATAAGTTCTTTAGCATATGAAGCTTGAGAAAGAGGTGAGGGAGGCAATTCGAGGGTAAGTACCTCTGGAGAAATGGGATGTCTGCCAAACACCAGGAAGAACGGAGTTACTTGATCTGTTCCAGGAATTGGAGAGGTATTGTGGGCGTAAGTAGCAGGTTGTGAGAATTCCTCCCACAACTGTTGGTTTTTCTCACAGTAAATACCTAAAGCAGAATTAAGCCAGCGGTGCACTCTTTCTGTAGAACCATTAAGGCGAGGGCGATAGCTTGTGGTGAACACATGTTCTATAGATAGCAAATTGGTGAGTTCTTGGAGCACAGAATTGACCCATTCACCACCTTGATCACTTTGGAGTACTGCGGGAAAGCCATATTCAAGGAACACATGATCATACAGGGCGCGTGCTGCGGTGGTAGCTCGTTTGTCAGAGACAGGTATAGCCCGTAGAAAGTTTGAGTAAGGGCACACAGCTGTCAAGATCCACTTGTTTCCATTAGGCGAAACTGGGAGCTCACCAACATAGTCTATGCCTAATGTATGAAATGGATGTTCGTACAGGCGAACTTGCATGGGACCATGATGTTGTTCAGCAGTTTTGAAACGGATGCAGTCAGGGCATCTGCGAATCCAGTTTCTGACATGTTTGGACATGTTCCTCCAGTAAAAGTCATTTGCCAGAGATTGATATGTGGCTTCTCGGCCTCGGTGCATTGCAACAGGAGAGTCTAGTCATGGTAGGCTCTTAACAGATGTCTACGGAACTGGATATCAGCAGGAACTACATAGCGGTAATGATTTGGATTGTCCATCAATTCATCACGGTACATGAGGACGCCATCTATGATGGCTGCACGTTTGGAGAAATGAAGAGCCCACTGCAAATGTTTCTGTGGAATACCTGGGAATTTTACTTTCCCATCTTTGGAAGAAAGAAGTTTGAACACAAGTTTACACCAGTAATCCTGTTGTTGTTGTAATGCAAACTGAGAGCGATCAAGGTTAAGTCCAGGTAAGGCAAGTAAATAGTCCTCAGATTTGGTATCAATTGGAGCTGTAACAGACGAGTCAGGATCAGGTGCAGAATCAACATTGACAGGAGCTACAAGGCAGATGCGGCGAAGGTAAGCAAAAGTGCCGTTGAGCGTATCAGAAACCAGTGTGGGACTATGATTGGGGATGTCCATAGAGACTGCAAGTAGGACAAAAGAATTCACACCATCTTCTGGAGAATAAGGTTCTTCAAATGAAGGTAAGTCTGATATAGGCTGACGACTTAAGGTATTAGGTACAGTGTTTGTGATTCCTGGACGATGTTCAATGGAAAAATCAAATTCTGCCATTGTCATACACCACCGTGCTAGTTTAGCTTGCTGTGGGGCCAAGGAGGTAAGCCATTTCAAATTTTCGTGGTCTGTAATGACTTTGACACGACGGCCAAGAATGTAAGGACGGAATTGTTCTAGACCCCACTTAACAGCAAACAGTTCTTGTTGCAACGTGTGCCAGCGGGATTCAGCGGGAGTGAAGGCTCTTGATGCAAATCTGACAGGGCGGAGCTGGTTATCTTTTTACTGTGCAAGCATAGCACCACAACCTAGCTTGCTTGCATCAACATGAAGTTCAAATGGAGAAGTCCAGTCTGGATGAGAGAGTAAAACATCAGGACCAGTAACTGCATGTTTCAAGTCCTCGAATTCCCTGGAGTGGTGTGTTGACCAAGAGAAGGGAGTATCCTTTTTTAAGAGGCCCTGCGCCTAAGAAACGACCGATGATTTCCGGCTAAAAAATAAAATCGGCCGATTTTTATCTCCCAAGTAGAGGTTACCGAATACTATTCAAAAATGAATTTCTTTTGTTTCAGTTTCGCTTTAAACCAAAAATATCGAGCCGCAAACGTTTTCCGTCTGATATCAGCAAAATCAGGCCTAAAATAAGCCCTCTTAAAAAACGGTTTAGAAATCACTATCGCAACGCAAAATAACGAGAAAACCACACAGTGATGAAGAAAAAGGACTTTTAATGCAATATCATTCGATAAACATCGAAAAACTGCCGAAGGGAATAAAAAATAAATTTTCAAATATTGCATATTAAATTAGGTGGAGCGTTGGAGCTGATTTTAAAATAATTATTTCTCAAAAGTCCAACGCTGTTGAAAGCAATCACAGTGATGAATGAGACATTGGAGGGATATACATTACGATTCTGGAAAAACATTTTTCGGCCAAAGTATATTGACGTTGTTCAAAGCGTTCAAAGTTGCAGTATTTACCGTTATCTTGCTACTTCGGCGAAACACTTCTCTGTTGCCAATACGGCCGTGGATGGCGTGGTAAACGCCACTTTAATCCTTGCTAGGCGCTCAGAGACCATCCTAAGTAGAAGGACGTAGAATTAAAAGAGAAAGGAAGATGAAAAATAGGCAGAAAAAGAAAAGAGCTCGAAATTACCATCTGCTGACGAAACTTGAATCTGGAAAATGTCGTCGCGTGACAGCGGCCAATGACGTCATTTGTCTAAACTGCGGCGGAATCTAAACGAATGCACAACTTTTTCCCGGCCAGAAAGCACTTACTGAAACAATGTTACAGTAATGTTATTTTTTCACAAGCGATGGTGACTTAAAAAGAAAAAATTCCCAAACCTCCGCACCGTTTTGGCCTCAGCGTGATCTGATCGTTGTGGAGTCACGAGTCGACGCTTCTGGCCAGCGGTCTATTGAAAGAAATCTGATCCCTTTTTTTTCTTTTTTCGGGCGAGAATCATTCATGTCAATAGAGAGTTTTAGATCCGAGTTTACCGCGAACCTCTAACCGCGGTTTGCGGTTACCCGTTTGCGGTTCGACGTTCAAACATAATTCGATTTAGATTGGCGGTGGATTAAACAAGTGGATTCTGGTTTATTATTCCATTTAGAAATAGAAGAAAAATTAATCAGTGAAAATAAAAGAAATTTACGGTAACACTGGGTTATCTAGCAGCAAAGAGCTGTAAATTCTTACATTAGT